TACACATATGTGTCCAAAATTTATTTCAAAGAAGTGGATGAATTGTGCATCTATTTTTCCAAAATTAAAGGAATCATCTCCTGATAGATAACCGAATCCTAGTTTAGGGTTCTCTCAGCCCATTTTCAAAGCCTATCACAAGCTTTTGTAGACTGAAGTTCAAACTAGACAGGTTTACAAGTATACATTTTCACAAGTATATCCAGAGTCTCAGAATTGAGATCAACTAAGTCAATCCTTTTTCTCTTGCAAATGAAGAACCTGAGGCACAATAAGGGGTTGAGGAGCCTGAGTGCCCAGAGGACAAAAGTGAACAAGATTGGGCTTATTTGGCAATGTTCATGCACCCCTGCCCTGCATGGTCACAGCTCCTGGGGAAAGCCTTTTCATCAGAGGCTCTGAAGTCAAACAAATCTGGTGCAAACACTGCAGGATCATGGGAAAAACTCCTCACCTGGTTAAGCCTTGATTCTTTAATTATAAATGAAGATACATTTTCGAGGTCTGTTAGACGGTGTAGTGGAGATAGCTACAGGTAACGCCCTTAGGACAATGCCTAGAACATACTAAACACCCATAAACGTTCACAGTGATAGCCCTGTGTTTTATCAGAGTCTGAACAGAAGGTTCACCAGCACAGTCTAGCCATTGCTTGCCATTTGTCTAATTTTCTCAGACATGGATTTCCTTAGATCAGAGTCCTCTTGTACTCCCACAGAGTATTCTCCATGCCCGACCTTAATTCAGTTAGCAAGTGCTCAATGATGACAAGAATTCTGTTTCTCAAGGTGGGACATTTTATAACATGTAGTCCTTTCACATGCCCTATGACAATGATGTACCTGCGGTCAGAAATTGGCGCTCAGGGGCTTCCCTGGCGGTCCAGCAGTTAAGGTTTCCTGCTCCCAACGCAGGGGGCCTGGGTTTGATCCCTGGTCAGGGAACCAAGATCCCACATACCACGGAGTAGCTAAGCCTGAGCGCCATAGCTCCTGAGCCCCCGACACCACAACTAGAGAGTCCACGGCTACAGTGAAGATCCCGAATGCCCCAACTAAGACCTGATGCAGCCCAATAAATAGACATTAAAAGATGGTGAGAAGGATGAATAGGTTGGCTCATTTCTGGGAGTGTTTTATTTGAGAAGGCCCAAAGCCAGAGTGAAGGGATGAAGGGATTGCTCGTCACTGAGGTCTGAAGCATAGCTCCAATGGAACTCATCACAAAAGTGAAATTTCTTTGAAGTGTCACACTAAAATCCATGTCTATTCGAGTTAACCCCACATTAAAATATTTGTGTTTATTTTAATATATATTTACTTCTTAAATCTAAAGTAGGCATTCCAAGAAAATGCATCATTTTATCTTACAGTTCACCGCATCCCTGGCCCATAGAATGGTTGGGGAGCCCTCTCTACGCTAATCCCCAAATCTCAGCTCCAGCCCAAGGGTATGAGGACCCCTTTATCTGTTATCATCAGGGCACAGCTAATGGTCCACAGTGAGCAACTGGGCTGACCCTCCGTCCATTTTTCTTCAAGAGCCACTGAGGATGTCTGCTTTCCCACAAAAGCCCTAAGAGCAGCCGAACTCATTTCTCTTCTGTCCATGTGTATTAATTCCTGTTTCTGTAATGAGATACAGAGGAGAAAAAAGGGGAAGAGGACTGATGTGGAATCAGATTGGGCCTGATGAGTTATGGAGCCTGCCTTCTCATCAGCGATGTAAAACAGCCTGGGCTCTATTTACTGCCGCTGTCAGTAGGATCGATAAATAACATTTTCAGTGACATGAAGAGGGAACGCGTGAGCTCAATGAAATGAAGTGGAGCCAGAGGTAGAAGCAGACAATGCCCTTTTTCTCTTCCTGGCCTGGCAGGAGTCACCTGTTTGGCTGGGAGAGAAAAGGGGGTATAAATTTGGTTTGACTTTTAAAAAGGGAGGAGGATGCACCCCCAAGAGGAGGAGAGGGCTTTTCTGCTGAGGCAGGAGTCAAGGAAGGGCATGGTCCACTGTCACCATCACTGCCTCCTATGTTGAGCCACCCCCCATCTGAACCAAAAACCCATAATCAGCTGGCCTGGGTGGGCAACACCCCTTCTTTGCAGCCACTTCAAGAGAGGTGTTTGACTTACTGTTTATATCTGAGAAAGAGTACAGAGCTAAGGTGGAATTCAGAGGAGTTATGCTGGATGACAGTCAGAGGGCTGAGGGGATGCTGACCATTAAAAAAGGCCTCTGTGGTTTGAGAGCTGAGGTGGGGTGACCCAGAGTCCAGCAGAATTCCAGTTCCCTCCAACAACAGTTCGGAGGTGAAGAATTGACCCTAATCACAGAATTTCCACTTTGAAGGGATCTCTGAGGTCATCTCGTCCAACCTCCCACCGATCATCAGAATCCTCTCCTCAGTACATGTGAGGGGCATACTCAGCCTCTGAACACAGGGCGACCATGAACTCTCCATTTTAGACCCTCTGAACACAGGGCGACCATGAACTCTCCATTTTAGTCCCTCTGAACACAGGGCGACCATGAACTCTCCATTTTAGACCCCCTCCAGGCTGCAGGGGTGATTGAAGCATCTGATGTAAGACAGCAGCCATGAGGCCTGCAGTCTGTCTGCTTTGCAAGGCGGGTGAGACTGGCATTCTGCTGGTGGGCTGGGATACCAGGTGGTACCCCAGGGGTCCCCAGGCATCCCCTCTTGCCTTTGCTTTGGGGACAGTTTGTAACAAGATGTTCTCAGCTGAAAGCACAGCAAAGAAGTTCAATTTCAGGTATGGTGAAAAAATAACTTTGAATACTTTACTTGCAGTAATGTTTCTTTTCCCTGGATACTTTCCTACCATGTTCATTAGGGCTGTTAAGAGTCATGTATAATATTTTAGACGTTTTGTGGCATTTAATTGTTTTGGCAGAAACCAGTTGTGATGGTTCCAGAAGCATCTGGGTGAGAGAGGGGAAGGAAAGGAGGAAGTCAGTGTGGGAGAAGAGGAAGGGGAGGCAGAGAGAGGAGAGAGATGCATAGAAAGGCAGCAAGAAAGAAAAGGGAAAAGCAGGAAATAGGAGGAAAAAGAAGATGTATGTGTGCTAAGTTGCTTCCAACTCTTTGAGACTCTATGAGCTATGGCCTGCCAGGCTCCTCTGTCCATGGGCTTCTCCAGGCAGGAATACTGGAGTCGGTTGCCATGCCCTCTTCCAGGGTATCTTCCAACCCAGGGATCAAACCTGCGTCTCCTGCAGTTCCTGCAATGCAGGCAGATTTTTCACCACTGAGACACCAGGGAAGCCCAAAAGAAGATGGGGGCTGAGGAAAAGGAGAGGTGAGAAGGGAGGAGTAAGAGAGACTTCAGCAAATTCTGCTCTCTTCAACTCTGTCTCAAATTTATAAACACTGCTGATGGGTAGAAAATGACATCACCAAATAAAGCTCTTCTCCAGACACTGTGTTGAGAAGTGCCAAGAAACAGAAATCAGAAGATAATATATATACAGCTCTTCTTTGACTTATGATGGGTTATGTCCCTATAAATATATCATGAGTTGAGAACATAACAAATTGAAATGCATTTAGCATATCCAACTGATGGAACGTTGTACCTTAGCCTAGCCCACCCTAGACATGCTCAGAACACATACATTAGCCTACAGTTGGGCAACATCATTTAACACAAAGCCTATTTTATAATCAAGTGCTGAATCTCTTGAGTAATTTATTGAATACTGCACTGAAAGTGAGAAACAGAATGGGTGCCTGGGTACTGAATGGTTATAAGTGTGTTGGTTGTCAGTCAGGGCTGACTGCAAGCTGTGGCTGCTGCTTCCAGAATCCTGAGAGGGTCTTGTAATACGTATCACTCGCCCAGGAAAAGATCCAAATGAGAAATTCAAAGTACAGTTTCTACTGAATGTACATTGCTTTCACGTCATCATAACACTGAAAAATCATAAGCCGAACTATCATAAGTCACAGACTGTCTGTATGTATAATCCAGATTCTAATTCCAAGTATCCTTTGGGGAAAGCCAGTGAAATCCTTCAACAGGAATATGTCATAATTAAAATCCTTCTTAATTCATACTAATAATAAGGGGTGCTTACTAGATGCCCTGGAAAAGGAAATGGCAATTCACTCCAGTATTCTTTCCTGGGAAATCCCACGCACAGAGGAGCCTGGTGGGCTACAGTCATTGGGGTCACAAAAATTTGGACATGACTGAGCAACTAAACAATAACAACAACTAGATGACATGCATTGTTCAAAGTACTTATCAGTATTAATGTATCAAATCCACACGCTGCCTACAGAATAGGTACCATTATCATGCCTTTTTTGCTAGCAAGCATAGAGACTAACGAACTGTCCTAGGGCCACAGAACCAGGAATATAGGAGCCAGGATATGCTCTGAGAAAGTCTGGCCTCAGAGCCTTGACTTTCTACTGCCTTATGATTCTGCTTCCCATCCACTTGTAAATCATCTATTCATTCAATAAATATTTACTGAGCTCCCCCGAAGTCAGGCTCAGAACCTCTCCCAGCAACAACACCTGGACACAAAGGATCAGGCAAGAACAGGCACACTCCCGGCTCTGAAGGACAATGGGTCTGATTGTTGAGACTTCACAATGAATGGGAACTGCACAGTTATTTGTTTCCATACTCTTAAGAAGATAAGCAAGATAAGCACACATGAATTTACATTTCTAATAAGCTCGCACACATTATCAGTGTTGATGGTTTGGGGGGGGGCACATTTTAAGGGCCACTGGTTTTGAAATAGTATTGTATGAAGGGACTAGAAGCTGAGACTTAGATTGTCAGTGAGAGGTTTCCAGGTGAGGAGGCAGATGGAGACAATTTCTACAGACCTGGAGGCAATAGGCAGATGCCACTAGGGGAAATGGATGTGATGGACAGAACCAGGAGTGTAAAGCTGGTGAGGGAAAGGTGATGCTTCAGAAGCACTTCAGAGGCCAGGTAAACATAACAGAGCTCTTACCTTGTCCAGGAGAGGGTCATGCCCCACTGATGGTCCCACTGAGATACCACAAAGGGTTTGTTGTTTCCAAAAGGCGAAGGCATCTCTTGACATGAAGGCAAGTCAAATTTCCAGTCACTTAGCTGTCCTTGTCCTTCCTCCATCTTCTCTTGGAGAGAAACCGCCCCAGGCTGGACCGACCTCATGTTTCTGTTGCTGCACAAGAAAAACATGCACAGGTTAATGATGGGGCTTTGTCCACAGTAAGACCCAGCTCTTTATAGGGATCACAAAGGTGACTACTTCTGAAGATGGTTTTGAGAGGAACTGGAAGATCCCACTGGCTGCTTAAGAGGTTCCAAATCCTACAATCTTAGCATTCTCACTAATGTATCTGATCACCACGTGACTCCTATTAACACGCACGTGTATTACTATATGCAGGAAAGGTTATCTGTTACCATCAAATTCTCATGAATACAGGTATGTAGAGAGGGGGTTATCAGGGTATCTACTTATCCATGGCTGGGTTAGGGGAGCAGAGGGATATATATCTCAGCCCCTGACAGATGTCTTCATCAACACAGAGGTCACTGTTCTTTATGTTCCCCAGACTGACAGACACATGCATACACAGATATGCCTAGGATCACTCAGATGTACACATGTTCAGTTTGATATTCACTGACCAGTTCATTTCAGTCCATGTCATAGCTGCCTCAGGGCTCAGACAGGTAGATATACATATACTATCTCTGGAATTGCTGTATGGTCCCAATCACAAACAGACGACACAATTTAAGGAGGCATGTCTTAGGGGTAGAGTGTGAGTTGAGTATCTCAGTGTGTGGTCATTATGAATAAGTAAAATATAGCATAAAGAAAAGAGAGGCGTGGAGACCACTCAAATTGGATGGGGGAGAAAGGGTCAGAGAAGGAAACGGATGGGCACACTGGGGCACTGAATGTCAGCTCCTTCCCAGGCTCATGGCCTAAGACTCCATTGAGGAAGGAGTGGACATGGTTGTGGTCCAGCAGATGCATGATGGTACTAACCTGCTCTCTGAATAAGATAGCATTCTGGCCTGCAATGGTGGAGTAGCACAAATCTTTCAAGATGTAAACTGAGAAAAACAAACTAAAGAACCCCCAAGTATCAAAAAATAATAACAACAACAGAAATTTCCACATCACTGAAGCTCTTTTCTTTTAGATCTGTGGTTAGCAAGACCCAGTGAACTTTCTTTCTTTCTTTTTTTTTTTTTAAACCCTCATCAGATCTTGATCAGCAGGACTGTTAATGTTTTCTGTCTTTCAAAACCTGATGTATGTCAGGTACCCAGCTTGTTAACTGCTGGTTTGGTCAACATTAGTTCCTTCTTCAGATGACTGCCCCATTTATCTTAGCTTAATACATTACCATGCCAACAGAGGATGGTCTATAGGTATTCTTTCATTATGCTCGATAGCATTTTGAAGCAGGCTTCAATTTAAAGTGACACACAAATCTAACTTTCTTCGCCCTTTAATTTGACTCACTGGTAACACAATTTGGGCATAATAGACAATGTACTGTCTGTTAACAATTTTATAGTGAATTACTGTTAGAGTCTGTCATCTTAGTATTTATTTAACTGAGTTGCATACGATCTAGTTGAACATTTCATGTGCTTGTATTTTGCCTTCTGGCAACCTGTGTAGAAAGCATATTCAGCATAGCATATGAAATATGCATGCACTCTCCCTTGAAAATATTTATAAATGTAAGAGGTTAATAGTGAAACACTTAAACAAGGATGACACAATGGATTCTACTCCCATATGCATAGTTATTATTGAATTTTTAAACTCATTAAAGGAAAAAGTCTGGAGGAGGGGCTTTAAGAACTAGGGACACTGCATCAGCTTTTGTGTTTCTGAAGTTCTTGCTGGGGCAAGAGATACAGAGAGTTTTCAGTTAGCCACTAGACCATAGAAAAACACAAAAAATTCATTGACCTTTTTGTGAATGGGGTAGGAACATTTTTTTTCTTATTTGTTGCTTTAGAAAATGATAAAAAGGACCTTGGCAAAAATTCAGATTTGTCTATAAGCACTATCAACTCAATCACAATAGCACTTAAATAGATCTGAAAAATAACTGTATATACACATACATAGACCTGTGCATGCAGACATACATCCATGAGATAATACAAGGTATATATGTGTATGTGTGTACATATGCATGTGTACATACAAATATATGTATGCATGTGTGTATGTACATACATTCAAATATGTACTTGTATGTATACATTCACTGTGTGAAGAAAAGCAATATCTCACCTTCCATGGTCTCAAACTTAGTTTTGAGCCATCCTTCTCAACTCACTCCTTATCTGTCCTTCATGTAGTCTTGGATTATTGCCTTGGTTATGTTCCTTTAAACTTTTTAGTTGATTTTATTTAGCAAGGTGCTTCATTCCTAGTCTTAGTCAGGATCACTGTTATCAAAAGTGATAGAGACTTTCCAGTTGCACCAGACAACAGATTTCTTGCTGTTTTTCTTTCGTTGCTGTTCCTTTGTTTAACTTAGTTTGAAATAGGTCACAGGTCAGACAATGGTAGATCCAGGTGCTCAATGATATTTTCGGGGCTCTGGCTATGTCGCCATGTCTGGATTCATTCCCCACTGAATGACTGTATCATTCGCAGATAAGTCTCTTCCCAGTAGTAAGAGATAGTATTAGCATCCCTAGACCTTTATACTAATGGCTCATCATTGGAAAAAACAAGGACATTCTTTCACTGTTAAGAGTTAGAATCTCAGGGAGATTTCTAAATGGCCATACCTGGTTTACACTGCCAATCACTGGACTAATCACTGTATTTGTTTACATTCCAGGTCTAGCTGGAGACAGAGCACAGCTTAGGACCAGGGGGCTAAAAGTGGAATTTCAGTATAAATAGCCCCATCAGAACTACATGTAATGTTGTGTGCTGGGGGTTGGGCTTGTGAGTGGGAAGAGTAGCTTTCATAGGAAAGGGGAATTAGAATTCTCCTTACCTACCCAGGCTCCTTAACTCAGGATCACCTTATACGGTCATCTCTCCTTATTTTACCATGTATAGGACTCTACAGTTCTTTACCCTCCACCCAGGTCTCAATTTCTTTTTTTTTGTGCTCTAAGTAGTCTTTAATTTATAGCTGAAGTTGCCCAGGACTTTTCAGGGAAGTCAGGAGTCAACAGAAGCCCAAGAGATAAAACACTTGCATGGCCAATAAGCCTCAAAATAAGCAGTAAAAATGAGCAGATGGTCTCCATTCAAGAGTCTTGAAAAAGTAGCCAGACATTCTGTGCTCACTTAATAAACATCAAACAAATCACACACAACCACAAAATAGATTCTGCTCATGACCACTGGCTGAATCACTGGAAGAAGAAAAACAAAGTCTCAATCATGTTTCCTAGCCCAGTTCCTCTTTCCATCTTCAAACTGTCTTGCCATTGAATCTAAGCCTTCCCTAGAATGACTTGTGGTATAGTACATGGTGCCAAAATTCTAGAATAAGGTAGATGTGTGACAGTGAGAGCAAACTCCCTAATTTCTGTAAACTTGGCTTACCCTTTATCTGTAGTATGGGAAGAAGAACATTTCTTTCTTGGGACAGTTGTGAGGCTTCAATCACTTAACCTCTTAAAGCTTCCATTCATGATCTATACAATGGGCATATGTACAGTTGCATTTTGCTCATAGGATACATTAGAGTTGTCTATTTAATATCCTTCCTGCTCTTTTTCCTTGGTGACAATCATTCCAGTTTTGGTAGGGATGGCAACATGCCATGTTTTTTAAAGACCCAGCTTTTCTTGAATATAGGAGGGGTAGATGAGATCTACCACTCATCTACCACTGGATGGAAGATGGTGGAAATGGTTAAGAGTGATGTAGAAGAATCCTTTTGAAGGGGGCTGAAGAGAGCTACACTCTTTCCGCTTTTTCTCCCTTCAACTGCAGTTAGGATGCAATGCCTTTAACTTCAGTAGCTATCTTGGACCCATGAGGAAAAGATAAAGAGAATTGCTGAGACTTTGGATCTGAAATCCTTGACTTGCCGAGACAATGCCAACAAACTCCTACTTCTAGATTTCTTGTTAATGAGAAAAAAAAATAAATCCTTTTGCATTTAGTCCTCTGTAGACAGGGCTCTTGTTTCTTGCAGCCAAATACAATATGCAATTACACGAGTTTTGTTAAAAATTCAAAGAAGTAATCTGTCTAAAGCACTCACTGCAAAAATCTGCAATATTAAATCTAAGAGACTTTGATGCTGTTGTTTTTGTTCTTACTAGAAAATGTGAATGGAACATTTTCTCCTGTGTCAGAAGTGCCACCTGGCTGACAACAAATGTACAGAGATTGATTTATAAGATGTGCTTGATTTCAGGAATGTTAGGGGTGCACATTTTCTATCTTAGAATCAATGAAATAAAATAATAACAATAGCTACCATTTATAGAGCAATTCTTATTCATAAATGTAACAGTGCTGACACATTGCCAGTTACAAGTATTGTTTCCTTTCCTTCCATTCTTGTCCCTTCTTCTAATGCAAGGGTGTGTCTGTGAAGGAGAAAGCAGGCTCCTTCAATAATATGTAAATGATCACAATTTCCAGGTGCACTCAGGAGGTAGCCACAATGAACCATGCCTTCTCACTATAAGTAAACCTCAACATGGATTTTGGGGGGAGAAATGAGTTTTGTAGCAAACTGTCTTTTACAGGGGACCTGACAAGGCTGGTCCCTAATTCTAGTTGGCTCTTCAGAGCAGATCTGATTAATGGGCTGGAATTAGTACTATTGGGACAGACCAGTTCATTGAAATATTCAGAGTCTCCTATCAATGTCACCCTCCACCCAGTCCTGGTGGGGAGGCAGCCTCCACCAGCAGCGTTTCCATGACGATGCAGTACATTTAGTCAGCAGCACCTCCTGAGTAAACAGTAATCCTTCAGAAAAACAAGAAGGTCATTACAGCAACTTGTCAAATCAATGCAGAGGGTGTCGAGGCCGATTAAGGCATCTTCTCTTGCAGCTGACACAGTGTCAATAGTACTGGGCCACTACTGCTCAGGCAGATGATTGAAGTGAAGTGCCCATCAGTCAGGGCGTTGAGGTGGACTAACGATTCCCCACGCTGCCTATTAGAGCTACATGACAACTCAATCCT